ACTGCTCCTGTTAGTACTTAAGACTTAGCGCTCGCCTTCCCTGCCAGCGTATGTCGCGGCAACGGGTCTGCTAAGTCCTTGCGGCAGGTTCTAAGTCCTAACCCTCAGCTGAACCACCCGCAGAGGTGAATCCGGCGGGCTTTCCATTTGCACCTGTGCCTCATTGGCTGCTGCTGGACCAGGTGTGGGGGTCACTGACTTGGGCGCTGGTGGCAGCAAGCTGTCAACTCCCGAGAAGTCAGAGGGGCCAGCTTCCAGCTCTGGTGATGCTGGCGACTCTGGCTGCGCTGCCCACTTGGGCAGGGACCCGTCACTGTCATTGTCGCCCGTGACAGAGTGTCACAGAGCTTGGTTCTGGGGCCAGTACTTTTTGGTATTTTAATAAATGATCTGGATGAGGCTGTGAAGGGGCTAATCATTAAATTCACAGCTGATACCAAATTGGGAGGAGCAGCGAACACACCAGAAGATAGAGATAGAATTCTACGAGATCGGAACACGCTGGAAAAGTGAGTGAATGTGAACAAGATGCAATTTAACAAGAATAAGTGCCAAGTTCTACATCTGGGTAACAAAAATTAGGAACACGCATACTGGGTGGGGGATATGCTTCTGAGTAGCAGTGTGTGTGAACAAGATCTTGGGGTAAGGGTGGTCTGAAAGTTAAATATGAGCAGCCAGTATGATGCAATGTCAGCTATGCTGCCATATTGTTTATGGGCCTAGAGTTCGCCTGCCTGACCTGTGTACGAGTTGGTGCCACATTCCTTCCCTCTCGCTTCTCCCCCTGTTATCTCTGACCTTGTACTCCTGCCTGTGTAGTGTCCCCACTTTAATTAACCGTGAGACTAGTTTCATTTCTCAGCCTGGGATCGGTTGGGTCATTTCCCGCCCACGGGAAAAGGGTCGATTGGCCCACAGGTGGGGGGGGGGACCTCTTGAATCTTCTATATCATTGTATGCTTCTTTCTTGCTCGTCATTCCTAACAGTGACCATGTTATTGCAACCATAGTACTAACAATAAAGCAAAACTTTTCTTGGAAGTGTGTGCTCCGTTGTTTGGCTGTGGGTCCTGACATTCTGTTAGGAATCCTATCGTCCTTATCATTCGCCTCTCTCACATTGAGATGAACAAGGAAGAGGACAAAACTGTATCCACGACGATGGGGGAGGAGACCCCTACTACCCAGTCCGAGGTACCGGTGACTACTACACCACCCCAGACAACCCCTCTAACAACCATGGGCATCAGAACTATACTGAAGACGGCGTCAGCCCACATCTTTTTGACACCGAGGGGCCCAAGGCAGCCGGGAGGTCAGTTGTACCAACCCGGGACATTACGGTGGGGCCAGTTTAACCAGACTCGACAGAAGAAACCTATGTCGTTACCAAGGTCCCCCGGAGAGACAGCTGGTTCGACGTCAGGCTGCTGGGAGAGTCAAGTTTCTATGGGGTGACGTCGGAAGGTGCGACCTGAGCATGGGTGATGGGCCGCACGAAAGAGTGAAGTGGACGCTGGTCTCCAGGGGAGGAAGAGCTCGGCCTGGCCGAGTGGATTGCAGAGGTGGAACAGGCTCATGGAACAGTGCCAAATGGTGCAAGACTTCGAGGAGGTGATCCTGGCCATCCTGGATATGATAATCCGGGCACTGCGAGCCGAGTGGGAAGCACAGCCCCCCCCCCGGACCACCTCAGGTACCACCAGCACCGCCAGAACCGGGCCAACCGGCGGCCCTGGGGGCTCTGGTACCCAGCCCCGATGGGGGTGCAGCCTGCCCCAGTGCCCCGACCGGGAAGCCCCAGGGGCCAGGTGTCAGTGAGCTGCCAATGTTTGGTTTTGTATTACTGTATTCGTTTGCCTGCTCTCGCTTTCAGCCGTAGGACTGTAGAAGCGCATGACTGTTTAGACTGCCGAAACCTTTGTATCTCCCAAGGCCACAGGTGGCTGCAAGTGCTTGTTAGTGTAAGGAAGCTCTCATGAAACGGCGTGAGAAATAGATAACATATTCTACCCAGGAACGTTTATTCTCAAGCCCAAAGGCGCGCGGGAGAAACCCCGCAATTGGGCTTTGCTGTTTGATTCTCTCTCATTCTGAACAGTGATCCTGTTATGCACCTTAGCTTCAAAATTGGGCTTTGCTGTTTGATTCTCTCTCATTCTGAACAGTGATCCTGTTATGCACCTTAGCTTCAAAATAAAATAAAACCTTTTCTACAAGTGTGTACATCATTATGATGCTGTGAGGAGTCTGACACCAGGTCCTCCACCGTCCAAAGACCTGATCAAGGCAAAGTTTGCCGGAGACCCAGAGGATTTCTCTTACTGTGTAATCAGAGTAATGAAGTTCATGGAGAAGTGGGGCCACCTGCTCCCGGATGACAGCAGCCGTGTGGATGTGACTGCGGCTCCGTTATGTGGAGCTGCTGCAACGTGCTATGTGGGCCTCCACAACTCACGAGGACCGGAGTTGATTAGTGTTGATTAGTGATTAGTGTGGATGCTTTTATGTGGGTGTTGCATGCCCAGTTCGAGTACCGGAACACCGGCCCAAAGGCCAGAGCATTCCTCCGCACCCTGAAACAAGGCAAGCACCCGGTGAGGGAATATTTGTCCGAATTTAATCTCCATGCTGTTAAGATCCATAACTGGCCAGACCAAGTCCTGGCTGAACTGTACCGTGTGGGGCTGAACCCCGAGATCCGCAAAACAGTCCTTTGCTCCATGGACCCGGTATCGTTTTTGGCGTGGATGCAGGAGGCGGAGAGCACGGAAGGCCGTCTGAACACCTTGCATTTGGATATTGCAGCGGCTGGAGGAAACCCCCCCCCCGGGTCCAATGCAGAAGGGAAACCGGTGAGACCACCCAAAATGCTCCAAGACCAACGCTTAAAGCAGGGGTTGTGCCTCTGGTGCGGGGAGCGGGGCCACTTTGCCACTGATTTCACCGGGCCAAGGGAAATCGGGAAAACCCAAGCCACCCAAGACCCAAGACTCCCGTGAAGAAACGGTCGGGCAAGCCGGAATTTGCTAAGGCTCTCCAGGTAGCCCTGCCTGAAGTCAAGGACGACACCAGTGAGGAGGAGGACACCGAGCCGGCGGGAAACGGACGGGGGGGACAGGATTGCTGTCTTGAAGTATTTGAAGGGCTGTCATTTAGAGGAGGGCAGGGAGCTGTTCCTGTTGGCAGTAGAGGAGAGGACTCTGAATAATGGGTTTAAATTAAGGGTAGGAAGGTACTGGCTGGATATTAGGATAAACCTTTTTTACAGTAAGAATTGTGCAACAGTGGAATCAGCTGCCTAGGGAGGTGGTGAGCTCCCTCTCCCTGGCAATCTTTAAGTAGTGTCTGCACAAACACTGGTCAGGGATACTCTAGGCTGATCCTGCATTGAGTAGGGGGTTGGGCTAGATGGCCTGTGTGGCCCTTTCCAACTTTTTGATTCTATGATTCTATGTAAACTGCATGGGTTCCCATTGTGGAGAAAGGCAAGAGCGTGTCCAGAAGAGGGCAGCCAGGATGGTGAAAGGGCTGGAATCCAAGTCTTAGGAGGAAAGGCTGAAAGAGTTGGGTCTGTTTAGCCTGGGAAAGAGAAGGCTTAGAGGGGGGACATGATTGCAGTCTACAAATATCTGAAGGGCTGTCATGTAGAAGATGGAGCAGATCTATTCTCTCTTGCTCCGGATTGCAAGACTAGGTCTAATGGGTGGAAATGACAAGGGAGTCGATACCAGCTAAATATCAGGAGAAACTTCCTAACGGTAGGAGTGGTTGAGCAGTGGAACAGTCTGCCTCGGGAGGTGGTGGATACTCCTTTGCTGGACGTTTTCAAGCGGAGGCTGGACAGCCCTTTTTCAGGTATGTTGTAGGGCTGTCTTTCGGATATGCTCCTGCAGAGTGCAGGGGGTTGGACTAGATGACCTGCAAGGTCCCTTCCAACTCTTAACATTCTATGATTCTAAGATATAAATAGAATAAGATAGACAGGAGCAAATAATAGACCAGTTGGTAGGTGGATGTAAAGGAGAGAAGGAAGCAGGGAAAGGTTGCTAGGGATGAGGGAAGTTGCTAGGATGAGGTTTTGAAAGAGTGAATGTGAATAAAATGGGGAGGGGATGCAGGAGAAAATGAGGTTCCTCTTGCAAGTCCTTGCAGGTTCCCGTAGTGCAAATGGGCCCAGCTCAGCTGGCCCTGTGCAACTGGGCCATTGTTTTCCTGGGGAGAGGCTGCCAAGGGGAGCAAAGAAAGGAAAGCTGAAGACAGGGAGAGGCTATGGGAGAGAACTTACAATAGAATTAGGTTGGCTGGTGGGTGGTTCTCCCAGATTAGAGTCCGCACACTTAACCACTACACCAAACTGGCTCAGAGGAAGTAGTATGGTGTTATAGGACAAAATGAGTGACCCTCACAAGTCCTTGTGGGTTCCCCACTTGTACTTTATAAAGTGATATATAGAAAAGGATTGACGTCGACACATTGCCAAATTTCCAATTCAGAATCATGCACACACAAAAATCATCCCACTTTTCTCCCTAACCAGGATCCAAAACAGTTTATCACAGCACACACACCCTTCTTTATCCTCACAACAACAACCCTGCAAGGTTTATTAGGCTGAGATACTGCAGTGGGTGCATGGTCACCTGGTGAGCTTCCATCGCAGAGCCAGGATCCAAATGGAGTTGTCCTGAGTCCTAGGCTGCGGTCACACTGGAAATGTGGGGACTTTAGACGTCAGGAAATGTGGGGTGGAAGTGCTGACATATGTAAAGACTGGACTTTCCCCAGTGTCGGCAAACTCTGCTTCCAGGACATGCTGGACCTGGGTGCTGAGGACTGGGGCACTGAATGCAGATGCTGTTGTCTGATCTTGCTCTGCAACGATATCGGTGCAAAGTGCTTATGTGACCACAGCCCTAGTCTGACATTCTAAACACTATGCCAAGCTAGCTAGGGAATGAAAGAGACCACCAATACTAATAGCCTGAGATTCTTACCATTCTTTACTTGGATGGCTGAACCTTGTCCTTGGAGATGAACTACAGCTGGCTGCAAATCAGAATACAGCTGGTTAAAATTAAGCAAGTGCTAGGCATGTGGGATCACATTGTCTCTTTTGAGATTTACAGTATTGCTGCAGGAGACTATAATGACCTTTTGGAAACACAACTTTGTCCACACGATATTAACAGTGAAGACCTCAGCAAAATCACATCCCTCTATGTCCACTGAACTCTGCTTAGGATGGCACTGTAAATGCATTCAGTTGTAATGGAAACTTTCCGTGCTTTTCTTATGTTTTCTAATATATATTTTGGAATTGCGTAAGTGTTGAGAAGAAGGGTGGATCCTCAAGTATCTAAGCACCAAGATGTGAGAAAGACTGCCAAAGAATTTCGTAAAATGTACATCGACACAGCTTCCACTAGAACCGAGCAAGACGATGCTGTTCATTCAACCTCCAGAACAAGTAAGCAGAGTCACATATCAAGGAAGCTACCCTTGGCTGAATGCAAAACACTTTTAGAAAATATAGCCTTTTCAATAAAACACAGATTCACATACATGCTCCCCATTAAGGTAGACAACTAACCTGTGCATCTCTAGGTCCTGCTTTATCCACAGCACCTGCAAGATAAAATATATTCAATAAAGTCAAGCTTAACATGTCTTTTCCTCAGCAGCACTAGAACAACCAAGCCCAGTGTTTGAACCCTATTATAAAATGATCACACAAGGGAAGAGATGTTCAGTCACTTGTCTTGGTCCACACTGCACACATGACATCAAAAATGGTTGTTTCCACTCAACTAGAATCCCATCTAGTGTATGACTGATCCTCATGATAAAAAAAAAAAATCAGTTCACACCAGTCCATCCACAGTGGCAAGCTTGCAGTGATAATGGAGCCAAGCTACCTAGAACATTTTTGAGACAGAGAATGACAGCTGAGGACGCTGCCCTGCTCTTCTGTCTTGCTCTGTGACCACTGATCCTCTTCCCCAGAGTCAGCTGATTCAACTAAGAAACTAAGAGAAAGTGAAAAAGAAGACTGCACTTACCTGTAACTGCTGTACACTGAGTCATGCTCTGGGGCAGTCTCACCTGCACAGGCTAGCCACAGAAAATGCTATAAGTGTGAAAGGCTTCTCTACAGTTTGGTGTAGTGGTTAAGTGCGCGGACTCTAATCTGGGAGAACCGGGTTTGATTCCCCCACTCCTCCACATGCAGCTGCTGGCGTGATCTTGAGTCAGTCATAAGTTCTTTCACAGCTGTTTTCTCAAGGGCAGTCCTCGAGAGAGCTCTCTCAGCCCCACCTACCTCCCAGGGTGTCTGTTGTGGGGAGGGGAAGGGAAAGGAGTTTATAAGCCGCTCTGAGACTCCTTCGGGTAGTGAAGGGTGGGGTATAAATCCAATCTCTTCTTCTTCTTCAATTCCTTGAAGTTGTCACTGGAGCCATGAGATACTGACACAGAAGAGCTTACGGTGGGGCAGGCAGGAAGGATGCCTGACTTCACAGCACACCCTCAATTAACAGCAGTTACAGTAAACAGCAACCCTATTTTCAACTTTATGATATCTGTGCACTCCCACATGGGATATCAGCAAGTCAAATTAACAAAAGATGGTGGCTGTGATGCTCTTAACTGAGCATGCCGAGAAGAACCTTCTTTCCAATTTGTGCTTCTCTTCTTGAATGTACATAAACACAATAATGTCTGAATAAAAGAGGGTGAAGACTACATCGCAGCATTGCAGTTGCCGTTTAGCAACATGCATTTAAGGAAGGCAGCTGAGGAAGAATGTGCCCCTATGAAATGGGTGTTACCTATAGAGGGCATTCAACCTTTTGCTTTGATGTAACAGGACAAGTGACACCACTTAGTGAGATAAAAACTGGGCAGAAGGACCCCCCCCCCTTAGGTCCCACGAAAATCTTTTGTAGTCTGTAAATAAAAAATAACCGCTTTCTTGACAACTAATGAGTGAAAGGCTCTCTCCTATTCATTTGGGGGGGGGGAACACAGGTAAGACAATCTCTCTCTCTCTCTATGGTTATGAGAAAAGAACATCATTTTTGGTAGGAACTGCAAGCTGGGCTCCAGCACAACATTATTTCACTTGTCCTATGAGCTGAAGGGACAGCAATTTTAGCAGTAAGAAGCTTTAGTGCAAGTTGCTAGAGGCTCAAAAGTCCTAGACGTGACCAACTCAAGGTCCAAAGACAGACTCCACTGGGGAACTGGATGGTCCAAACAGAACTCTGAGGAAAGACCTGAACTCCTGCTGAGAAAATGGGTTCCCTTTCCATCTGTATATGGAAAGATGATTTGACAGTCGTATGTGCTTTGAAGAAAAGCTTATGTCCATCACGATTGTTTAAAGTGCAAAAGGTAGTCAAAATGGAAGCTAGGGAACATTAAGAACATAACAGAACATAAGAGAAGCCAATGTTGGATCAGGCCAAAGGCCCATCTAGTCCAACACTCTGAGTCACACAGTGGCCAAAAATACCAGGTGCCCTCAGGATGTCCCACAGTTTCATGTCTCACAGGGTAGCCCAGGACACAAATCTTTTCAATTTAGCTGAAGAACAATTTGGAGTAGAGGGTTTGACCAGCAAAAACTGTTTCTGAAGCCTGTCAACTCAGCATGAGCCAAACTGTGAGTTTGGGTTATTCTACAACATGACGAAAGTGAGTATCTTGGGCCAGGAGGTCATGTGGTAGAGGCAGGGGATACACTCTCCCTTGGGACTGGTAAACCGACTCTGCCTGTGCACAGGGGACAAAGAGCGGCCCCTTGGTGCAGAGACTGGCCGCCATTCTGGCAAGCAATGGGAGGGGAAGGAAAGGGCCTCCACGCAGGGACAGAGGAAGGAGTCTACTAGGAGCCCTTGTCTTCTGCCACCTTAGGAACAGCACCTGCACTTCCTGGCTGGCAATCTTCTGCAAAGACGCCATATGGTGCTTCTTGTTGCTACAACTCTGTAACGCTAATGTAGAGAGAGTTTCCTCTCTGGACCAAAGATCTCTTACATGATGATTTATACAATATGCACCCAACCTGCAAGTGATGCATCCATGTGAAGAACCACACAGGCAACTGGGAGGCCCAAGGGGAGCAGGTTTTCCCTGACAATCCACCAGTGAATGGAACAAGTAAGGTCCCTGGGTACAGTGAACTTCATCCTCTGACTCTGGGCGTTGAACCTCTGTAGAAAGATCCAGGTGGGCAGCCGTGTTGGACTGAGGCAGTAGAACAAATTTTGAGTCCAACAAAGGTTTATTCAAGGCATGAGTTTCAGATACAATGAAATGGAAACAGAAATAACAGTCATGCAGTAAATTAGCATACAGAATAATGAAGGTGTTTTTAACAAATTAAAAGAAAAGCTTAGTATATGTTAGCTATATATACTAAGTTTATTATTCTTTTAATCTGTTAAAACATCATCATTATTCTGTTTGTTAATCTGGCTTCTGAGGGAAAAGACATTTGAGAGTCAGTATTTTCTGACAGGCAATAGTCAGAAAAGTACTTCTACAAAGAGAAGAGGAGAAACCCCAATATCTTAGAGATATTAAAATTAGATTCTCATTCTTTAGATTCTCATTCAGCAAAGCTACAGAACAGTTTTATACAGATAAAGGATACTGGAGAAGGATTTGACAGAAGGTCCAGGTAGTTAAAGAGAACTCCAATACAAGCCAAATAGTGAAAGGAGTGATTGCTTCTTAGGGACAAGGAGAATGACTTCCTGCCAGTGAAAGGGAGCCCTGGTCTGTGACAGAGGGGAGAAGATTAGACACCTCAGGCGTTAATGAAAAGCTGTATTATCTCAAGGAAAAGCTGTGATATCTAAAGGAAGAAATCTAGAAACATCAGTAAGAATTGTGTTGTGCTGAAATATACAAGACAAAGTAAACTAAATACCTAAACATATGGTGGGACAGTCAAGTCTTTAAGCCCTGTGGTGACATCAACTGTGTCTGGCAGCCACTCTGAATCCAAGCAAGCTCAGATTTAGAACTCTGCTATGACCCCAAAGTCAGACCCATGGCTGTAGACAGCACTAGACCAAGCTGACAGTGAGATGACAAGTGGCACATTGACTCAGGAATTCTTCAGTGGATTCTATTGGGGCAGCAGATCTGTTATGTCAGCCTGACTTCAGAGAGTGGAGTGGCGGGCTCACTACCTGTGCAGCTAGCAAGGCACCTCATACGGATCACAGCACTTACCGGATGGGCCCTGCATCCCAGGGGGTCCCTGCGGGCCAGGTGGTCCAGGTGGTCCAGGAGGTCCCATCACTGTGGTGCCTGGGATGCCAGGGATTCCTGGGATTCCTGGAGGGCCTGGAGGTCCAGGAGGGCCTGGTGCTCCCTGGGGCCCATTGGGGCCGGGAGGGCCAGCTTTCTTGCCTGAGGAGAGAAAGTTCATTGTTTTTACTTCTGAACACAGCAGGGGGGGGGGAGGACAAAAGCAGGTTGCTTACCTGCAACTGAGGATCTCCGGGTGGTCATCTGTGCATTCACACCTCTGGGATATAGTGCGCCTGTGCAGACCCCAATTGGTATAATGGGAAGCAAAGGGGATTTTCGCGCCTGCTCCCCAGTCACATGCCGGGCTCCACTGCGCATGACCAAGGGAGGGGCACGACGATCCCGCCGGTGCCTTCTGACTGCTGCCCTCAGTCTCCAAAGAAAGCAAGGAAGGACCGAAAGCAGAGGGGAAGGAGGGCGGGTGGGGTGAATGCACAGATGACCACTCGAAGTTCCTCAGTTACAGGTAAGCAACATGTTTATCTTCTTCGTGGTCTCTGTGCATCACACCTCTGGGAGACTAACAAGCAGTACACACCTACCTGGAGGAGGGAGCTGAGGTCCTAAACCTGCGCCGCCTGTAACACCGCTTGTCCAACCGTGGAATGCTGATGAAGACGTACATCGAGGGCACAATGCTTCACAAACGTGTGAGCCGTGGCCCAAGTAGCTGCATTGCAGATATCTTCTAGCGACGCACCTCGCAGGAAGGCTGTGGATGCCACCACTGCCCAGGTGGAATGTGCCCGTAGCAGACCCGGGAGTGATATGCTACGTGCACGTAGCATAATTTAATAGTCTCCACAATCCACTTGGATAAGTGTTGGGATGACAGCTTCCTCCCTTGAGAGGGTAAAGCATAAGAAACCAACAAGGCCGGTGATTTTCTAAAAGACCGTGTTCGATTTAGGTAAAAGAGTAAAGTCCCCCCCTTTTTTAAAAAAACATTTTATTATCAGGATATAAAACATGTCCAACATTAAAATCTTTCTTCGCTTACCATATACCCTTCCCCCCCTCCATTCTCCCTCCCCCTCCCGTGGCTTCCCGCAGTGCTCCCACCCCCTTCTTACCCTACTTCTTCTGTCTATTTTTTCTCTAAAACAAAACTTTGTAAGGAACATATTCTTTAACTACTATCGTTACTTATTCATCTATATAGGTAACATTTCTTTTAACTGTAATCATATATTCAACTATTTATTAGGTAAAAGAGTAAAGCCCTTTTGACGTCCAACGAGTGAAATCGGCGTTCTTCCTCTGTCGAAGGGGATGGAAAGAACACTGGGAGAACAATGTCCACTTGTAGATGAAACTCAGAAACTACTTTCGGTAAGAAAGAAACATCTGGAGCCAACGTGACCCCATTATGATGGAAACTCAAATAAGGGGGGTCACAGCGGAGTGCCGATAACCCATCCTCCTAGTGGAGGTAACTGCAACTAAAAAGGCTGTCTTCCACAACAGAAGCTGACTACAAGTAGCCATTGGCTCAAAGGGTCTATCCATAAGTCTCGTAAGCATCATGGGTAGGTCCCACGGTGGTGTGGGACCATGCAACAGAGGGAAGAGGTGGGTCAGGCCTTTAAGAAACTTCTTGGTCTGAAGGTGGGAGAAAACAGAATGCCCGTCAATTAGCGGGTGATTAGCCGAAATTGTGGCTAAATAGACCTTCAACTAGGCACAGGTGAGGCCTAGGTCCAGACGAGATAATAAGAACCCAAAGATTGCCGTCAGGTTGGATGGGGATGGTGGCAATCCCAACGAGTCGAGGTGAGAAGAATTTCTTCCACTGCCCAGCATAAGAAATTTGGGTAGACAGTTTGTAACAGTTCAATAGGACATGATCTATTCTGTCTCTGAATGATCAAAAAGGATCCTCCAGATTGTGAGCTTGAGACGCTGCACATCATGATGCAGTATTTGCCCTCTCCCTGCAAGGAGGAGATCTGCAGCTGGGGGGAAATGAACGAAGGAGCCCTTGGATAGGTGGAGCAGAGTGGAGAACCAATGTTGCCAGGGCCACCACGGAGTCACTAAAAGACAGCGTGGCTTCTCCAGCATTAGCTTGACTAGTACTCTGGAGATCAGAGGAATCAGAGGGAAGAGGAACACGTGAGGACGTGACCACGGGACCAGAAGACCATCGCCAAGAGACAGGGGATCTGTCCCCGTTCTGGAGCAGAACAGACGGATTTTCTGTTGCTGCATGTCGTGAACACATCCACCTCTGGATGGCCCCAAAGGCGAAAGATCGGTTGGAGATATATCCAATTGAGCTCCCACTTGTGCTCTGATGCACCTCCTCTGCTCAAGAAGTCCGCTTGGACATTCAACGTCCCCGGTAGATGCGCGGCTCTCAGGAATGTGTTCCACGATTGACACTCGTCCCATAATTCCAAGGCTAGTCAACATAGCCCCCTGGATATCGTGCCTCCCTGTCTGTTGATATAACACAGGGCCGTTGTGTTGTCTGTCAGGACAGTGACCACCTGCTGGGCCACCAAGTGTCGGAAAGACCTGAGTGCGTACAGCCCTACCAGCAATTCCAGAAAATTGATGTGATTGTGGGCTACGTGGGATTCCCATCAAGCCTCGACACAAAGTCCCTTGAGATGTGCGCCCCATCCCCAAAGCGACACATCGGTAGTCAACTTGAGTGTTGATGTGGGCGGATGAAATGGGGCTCCTGCTAGGAGATTTACAGGATCTGTCCACCAAAGCAGAGAGCCCAAAACAGTCGGTGGGAAGACAATACGGAGGGATTGGGGTTGACTCTGTGGGTGAAACTTGCGGACAAACCAGAGCTGCAGAGGTCTCATGTGCAACCTGGCAAAGACAATGACATTGATGGTGGCCGCCATCAAACCCAGCAGCCGCTGGATTTGTTTTTTTTTATTTATTTTTATTTAACATTCGGCTTCTATACCGCTCAGACCCGAAGGTCTCAGAGCGGTTTACAATGGTGCTGCAAGCGCAGATCTTAGTCCTAATTCTATGGGCACATTATTGAGGGGTGGGGATGCCTACCAGCACCCGGGTGGGTTTGCTCTTCCTCTCGGCTTCTCTTGTCGGCAGTCAACTGGGTCAGGTGGCATCTGTGGGTGGTCCTTCCCGGCGTTTATCTTCCGGCGCACGGCCCGCGGTGGTCCTGGCTCAGTTCCGTCCGTCATCAGCTCCACTGCGCCTGCGCCGCCCGCGCCTCCGTGCGCTTCTCTGTTACTCTGCCTCCACCATCGTCGACGGACAGACGCCGGGAACTGGGTGCTGTTGTTGCCTTCGGCCACCAGGGATCGCCGTTTCCGCCATGCCACACCACTTGTTGCCGTCCTCGCCGTTACTGCTGTCGCCGCCGCCATTGCTGGTCTCCTTGCCGCGGCTGCTACCGCCGCCGCCGCCGAACTCCACCACGTCCTCGCATGGAGGAGGGTGCCCCCTACCCTTCTAAGGGTAGGTACCCATTTATCTACTGGTATTGTTATTTTAACTTTTGAACCGCTGGGTTGGCGGGAGCTAGGACTGAGGGCCGGGTGCTCACCCCGGTCGCGGTGGGTCTCGAACAGCCATAGGGCTGTTCGCTATGATTTTACAGGCAAGCGTTGTTATTGCTTGCGCCACCGCCCAGTCTTGTGGAATAGAGTCACTAGATCGACAATGTCCCTTGCTCTCTGGGGAGGGAGGAAGGCCTTGCAAATGACAGAGTCCAGGATAGCTCCTATAAACTGCACTCTTTTGGTGGGAAGGAGCATTGACTTTTGTAGGTTTACCTTGATGCCTAAGGATGTAAGGACGGTCAAGGTTAGGTCGACATGGGTGAGCAGGGATGCCTCTTAGTCTGCTACCAGTAACCAGTCATTTATATAGGGAAATATCTGGACTCCCCTTAGATGGAGGTATGCCACAACAACCACCATAACCTTCGTGAAGACCCGAGGGGCCATGGATAGTCAAAACGGAAGGGCTTTGAATTGGAAATGACAACTGCCCATCACAAAACGGAGGAAACCACAGTGGGCAGGGTGGATGGAGATGTGAAAGTAGGCATCCTTGAGGTCCAACATCACCACTCACGTCCCTGGATTTAGGAGTGGAAGACTGGACTGTAATGTTGTCATCTGGAACTCTTTGTATAGGATGAAAGAGTTCAGTTTCCTGAGGTCCAAGATGGGGCAGAGGCCTCTGTCCCATTTTGGTACCGTTAAATAATGAGAGCAGAAGCCCGTGAGATATTGGGCTACTGGTACCAGCTCTATAGCATCTTTGCTGAGAAGGGTTTGAACCTCTTCTAGGAGGGTGACTGAAGGTGGTGTGACGACGACGTGGATAGTGGAAGGGATTTGGGAAAACTCTACAAGGTATCCCGATTTGATTATTTACAGAACTCATAGGTCTGACGTAATAAGCTTCCAGATCAACAGGTGGGAAGACAAGCGCATAGGGGGCGTGGGAAGGAGGTAGGAGTCAAAGACTCTGTTTAGGATTCTTGGTCGTTTTGGGTCTAGATTGTGTAGATGAAAAGTTGAGTTTCCCTCCATAAGGATGAGACAAACGACTAGGGGACCTTTGCCAGTGTGGCTCAGAGGAAGATTTTGAAGAGGGTCTGCGGGACCATTGCTTGATCCAGGGTTTTCCCTTGTGAAGTTTTGCAGGAGGTGTAACCCCAAGGTTTGATGCTTTTGTCGAGCTCCTGAAGCACTGCATCCGTGGTGGAACTAAAAAGTCCATCACCCTCAAATAGAAGGTCCTCTACGACGGTTTTAGTGTCTGACTGTAAGGCAGAGGAACGTAGCCATGCATGCTGGCGTAAGGTGACTGAAGAACCGAGAGTCTTTGCAGCTATGTCCAATGAGTGTTTGGAGACACGAAGAAGAAGAAGAAGAAGAAGAAGAAGAAGAAGAAGAAGAAGAAGAAGAAGAAGAAGAAGAAGAAGAAGAAGAGATTGGATTTATACCCCGCCCTTCACTACCCAAAGGTGTCTCAGATCGGCTTACAAACTCCTTTCCCTTCCCCTCCCCACAACAGACACCTGTCAGGGTCAATAGCAAGCAGGTGCAAACATACTCTCCTGAAAAGGCTATGCTTTATTGGAATACTGGTCTGTTCCCAAGTGGTACAGGTACATTGTCAGGAATAACGTTTAGTGCAAGGGGCTCCATACATATACTCTGATGCTGCATCTAGCTAAGCAAATGAAATCCAAGCAAGCGCGCGGGAATTCTCCCAGTGGGATATTACATCATGAAAGGGAGACTTACCCCAATCCCTTGAGAGCAGAAATATTCACACCCGTATTGGAATTCAAGCCCTCCCTTCCCTTCAAGGTTATATTCATAACGCTGTCTGGCTGAGTCAGTTAGCACGGGGGGGGGGAAGAGCACCTCCCTTATGTTACCCACGGTAGCTAAGCAAAGCAAGTATGTGTGGCTGCACAAAAGTCAGGGACAAAAGAAAGCAAAGAAAGCATGGCAGCTAGCTGACAACACTGAGCAACACTCAAGGGCTGAGAGAGCTCTTGACAGAAACTTCTCTTTTTTCAAGAACAGTTCTTATCAGAACTATGGCTTGCCCAAGGTCATCCAGCCAGGTGTTAAGTGGAGGAGTGGGTAATCAAACCCGGTTCTCCCAGATTAGAGTTGCGCACTTAACCACTACAACAAACTGGCTTTGTTGATGTTGATGTTTTGCCAAAAGCATTCCTTCTGTCTGGATATGCCTGGCTTGATGACTACAGTCATCGGCGAGGGTCGAGATAAATTCTGACATTTGCTCCCAAAGGGCATACTGATGGCGTCCCATGCAAGCAGCACAGTTAGAGAATTTGATACCCATAGCTCCAGCAGTATAAACTTTTCTACCAAAAGAGTCAATTTTTCTTCTCGCCTTGTCTGGAGGGGTAGAGTGGCTACTCTTGCCCTTGGCAGATGAGGTAACCACTAATTAATTCATCTTTGGATGGATGATGACTACAGTCATCGGCGAGGGTCGAGATAAATTCTGACATTTGCTCCCAAAGGGCATACTGATGGCGTCCCATGAAAGCAGCACAGCTAGAGAATTTGATACCCATAGCTCCAGCAGTATAAACTTTTCTACCAAAAGAGTCAATTTTTCTTCTCGCCTTGTCTGGAGGGGTAGAGTGGCTACTCTTGCCCTTGGCAGATGAGGTAACCACTAATTAATTCATCTTTGGATGGATGAAGAGAAATTCTGCCCCCGATTCTTGAATCTTGTACATATGATCCAACCTCTTATTGGAAATCGATACGGACGACAGATGAGCCCAAGGGACTTTGTCTGTTTGCAAGAGGACTGAAGTCATGGGAAGGGCGACCAAGGGCGACATGTCCATCTGGACGATGTTGAAGACCGAATCTGTAACCGTCGGAAGAGGTTGGATGGTGAGCAGAGCTAATGTGTGTGCCATTCATTTGACAAAGTCCCTATAAGGCTTAACGTCCTCCAACGGCGAGATAGGAAGGTCGAACTCGACTTGCTGCATCGGGGACAGTTCTAATGGTGGGTGGGAACTCTCCTCATCCGAGTGAGAGCTGGGGGAACTGGAGCGAATTGAAGGTTCAGAGAACGACGTTTGAAGGATTGGCATCTCTGTCTGATCTATAGGAGGTTTCGGTGCTGACGACTGGGGACTGGAGCCTTTAGCGATTGGTCTCGATTGTGAAGGTCTAACCAACTCCGGTGCCAGGGAGGGATCTCGGTACCAAGAAAGCCTGGAAGACGACGATTGTCGATTCCACTCTATGGGGGGATGTGGAGGAAGCCATGGCATTGATCCTGAAAAAGGATAAGCTCCGTACAGGTATTGCCACTGGCGCTGGTCCCAGGTCACCCTGAAGAGGCATTGGAGATCGATCCCGATCATCGGAGATGAATGGAGGCGAAGGGACAACAGTGTGTGCCCTTCGATCTCGATGCAGGTTCTCAACTTCGGGGGATCGAGGAACCTGGATGGGGTGGAGCGAAGGTGACCGAAGTGCACCTTGTGGCTGCCCTCGGCTTGTAGAATCAAACAAAGCAGCTGCCAGAGAGCCTTTCTTGTGCTTCTTAAGCTTGAGAAGCCAAATGTTCTTGCCCTCCTTACGTTTCTTAGAAGGAGTATGGGCTTCAGACTGTTGTGCCTGAATTGGGTGCTCCGGCACTGATTTTATGGCATCAATGGAGGTTGATGTCGAAGACAGGGTGACTGTCGATTCCGATGCGGTCGTTGACATCGAGGCATGCCCGGACGTCTCCTGTGGTGAAGGCGCCACCGGCGAAAGCGTGACTTCCATCAGCGCCACCTGAAGTCTAGCTGCCTGATACTTCCTGGTCTGTTTGGATAACTTGGAACAATGGGCGCAAGAGTCTACTCGGTGCGTTTCCCCCAGGCATAAAAGGCAAAGGGAATGTCCATCTGGGGGGGGGGCGATCTTACTGCCACACTTCCAGAACCGTTTAAAGAAATCCCACCGAGCAGCCATAGGCCGGAGGGGGGGGAGTAGAGAAACAAAGTCCAAAGAACACTATCTAACTGAGTTACTTTCCTAACTAACGAATTCGAAGAAAATGAGGCCTGAAGGCCAAAAAGAAATAGTTTTACTGACCGAAGTGGAGAGAGTCCTACCAGCGCGGCGGTCAGAAGAGAACTGGCGGGATCGTCGTGCCCCTCCCGTCGTCATGTGCAGTGGAGCCCGGCATGTGACCAGGGAGCGGGCACGAAAATCCCTTTTGCTTTCCATTATACTGATCAGGGTCGGTGCAGGCGCACTATATCCCAGAGGTGTGATGCACAAAGACCACGAAGAAGATCCAGTGCTTCCTCCTCCTCATTCACAGCTGGAACACAGACTTGCACTTCAGATTCGTAAGTGATCTTCCATATTGGCCCAAGTCAATGCTTTAAAATGCATGAGATGAATTTTTGTTCCTGTTCATCAGGCAGCAGGAATATTTAAAACATTACAAAGAACTTCAGTCTCGGCAAGCCGCACTGTCTCCCAGTCTCGCTGTGGCCCACAGCCTTGCCAGCCTTCAGGTGGGGAGTGCAGTTCTCTTTGGATTATAATGCCAAATTATAAAGATGGAAGAAATGGCAGCTGAGGAGGGCAGACTGTATGGCCAAAAAATGTTTCACACAGTTTGTAAAAAACGGTTGCAAAAACAACGACAAGGAAGCAGAGTTCCCTGCTGGGCAACTCATTGCTGAGGCAACTGGTCCGGTTACCCCTTGCCTTGATCCACTTCCAGTCAGCTGCTTAATTTGGGTATTCAAACACACAACCCACAGATAAAACCCACATCTGGGCCTACCCTAACCAGTCATGTATAAATAATTGTAAACACATGCAACAAGTGTGGTGACCAATGAAATCTGCAAATACAGCAGATAGAGGGGCTGTGTCAGAAACACCATAGGCAAATTTGCCTAATTTTACACCTTCAAAGATCCTAAGATATGAAACTGTTACCTGACCTGGATGAAGATCCACTAAGCCTGACGCAGCCATCTGGGTGCCCCGGGAGGCTTACAAGTCAGGCATAGAGACTATGGCTGCCCTCTGCTGGGTGCCCTCAGGATCCGGTACCAGGCAACAATAATAGTCAGCCTGGTAACCTCAATCTGGATGCAAATGTAGACCCTAGTAGTGCCTTTCAAATGACATTGCCACACTTATTCTTTCATTCTTAGCCAAACTGAACAGTGTCAGCTACAAGGCATCTTCCTAATCTCCATAAAGTGGATTGCACAAGAATGTTGGGGATAAAGTAACACCCTGGTTTTTGCAGCCGTGGCTTCTCTCTCCATCTGAGAACATGCCTCTTCACATCTGAGCTGGCAGCCAGCCAAGCCTTCATCCACTCTTCCAATTCTCCTTGCCCTCAATGAGACACACTAAAATCTATAACCTTGAACCACATTCCAAAACTTACACATTTTCCCTACAGCATTTTATTACATTCTTTTGCTTGATATCATCTTCATCCTAGATTTACCACAGTATTGGATCAAGTGTGCACCTAAGACAGATGTGCACTGGGCCCTCCCTCTCCCCAGGAATCAAGGGGTAATACCTATTACAGCTGTTTTTTCTAATCCTGCCCTGGAGGCTTCTTCTGCTTTTAAATTAGCTGATACTTCAGGTGTAAAACAATTATATGTAATCCCAAAGCAGCACGTGCAAGCAGGGAGTTCCTCATGGGCATCTCATTTCCCATTCAACTGAAATTCCTCTTTGCAAAGCTGATAAAGCAAAAGAAAGATGACACTCTGTAACAACTACATTTAATTAGCAGGGCAGCCATTTGGGACACAAAAGAACACTCCCTCACTCCCTGCTGTTTTCCCAAGTCGGGAAGCATCACAAGGCACTCCACCGTGCCTTCTGCCCTTAACTTGAAGGCAGAGAGAGCCATGCATGAGGGCCACCTCAGCTCAATGGAGGAACCGTGCTGCTTTCCATGCTTTTTAGAAACTGACCACGTGAAAGGGAGTTGTGAACGGTGTCCAGAGAATTCAGACATTTGGGGAGACAGGGTGGCGCCAAGCAAGCGAGACGGGAAAGGAGACTATCCCTTCCAAGACTTTGTTGAAGGAGGTAAAGCAAATTAGTATCATAAGCGCAGTTTCTACAAGTCTATTGGATTTTCAGAAGGTTAGGACAGATTAGTTGCTTAGATGCCACAGTGGGGTTTCTCTGTATGCCTAGTGGCTCATACCTGCTGTTCAGAGAAAGTAGGAAGAAAAACCTAACTTACCTTTTTTCTTTTTAGATGAGGTACTTGTGCCTAAAAAAAAAAAAAAAAGAATTGGGAGATTTATACCCACCTAAAATTAAGTCTTACATCTACAAAGAACATCAAATGAATGGATGACAAATTTTCATGAACTTCAGCTTCATAGAAACGATTCCCCCCCACCAGAAATAGTGAAAGCCTTGTGCCGTTCAGTTCACTGGTTTAAAACCAACGGGAATAGAAAACTTTGGGTCTCACATCTATGGAATTCGCACTTATGAACAGTTAACAACCAAGGAAGTCAAAACCTTTTTCTCTTTTAGGGTTAGATGATAACCCTGGCCAAACAACGTGGTCAATACATTTGTTCTGCTCCTTTGGAAACATTTTAAACAAGTATTTTAATTTAAAAGATACACTTCAAAAATAAATGCTTTCAACATGTGGTTAAGTTTTCATGGCTTTTATCTTCTGATGATGACTCAATTTAAGTAAGAGTAAATTAAAGGAAATGGCCTTTAGTGGACCCAGACATTTAAAAAAAACAAAAAACCTCCAGTCACATTTGTTCCTGGAAATCTTTTGTATTAGTATGTCAGAGAGGAATTACATGAATAGGAGCTGCGGTGGCTCAAGTGGTCAAGACGCTGAACTGCAGGCTGTGGAAGGTCAGTAGTTTAGCAGTTTGAGACCCGAGTGTGCCGCATGATGGAGTGAGCTCCCGTCTCTAGTTCCAGCTCCTGCCGACCTAGCAGTTTGAAAGCAAGAAATTGCAAGTAGACGAATAGGTCCCACTTCGGTGGGAAGGTAACAGCGTTCCGTGCGCCTTGGTGTTTAGTCATGCCGGCCACATGACCACGGAAACGTCTTCAGACAGCGCTGGCTCTTCGGCTTTGAAATGGAGATGAGCACCGCAACCCTAGAGTCGGAATCGACTGGCTTTCGAGCAAGGAAACCTTTACCTTTTTAATTACATGAATATAGCTATTAATACAGATTTTAAAATTTAAAAATGGCTCTACAATGATTTTTTTTTTACTCTGTCTTGAGGTTTGGTCATCGCAAGGACAAAATTACAGTAGATCCAGTCACGGCCCAAGTGCTGAATCATTCTGATGGTAATTTTCCACTCAGCATATTCATGGGGCTGAAAAGTACTGATGAGAGTACAGAGCCCCGAGGAACTCCTTGTTCAGGTTTCTGAGGCAGATGATTCCAGATGTTCAAAGGAAACCCTCTGAATTTAATAAAAAAATTAAAACTACCAGAACCACCAGGAAGAAAGCTCCTCCCACTCCCATGCTTCCCCCCCCCCCAGTCATCATAGAGTGGTCAACAGAAGGGTTGTGATAGACTGTTACTTAGAAACAATATTTGATTTTTCTGGCCCAAAGTACCTCTACAGCTTTCAGATACATCTTGGGGCAGGGTTGCTTGAGCCTTGAAAAAGCCATTTTGTTTAGCGTATGTTACCATATTTTGTAATTGGCTTACTGATTGATTGTGTAGTTCGACTGTACTTGTAATCCACCTTGAGTCCCATTGATAAAGGCAGCGTGTACTACAATTATGCCATTCACTGGACAAGCCTGGTTCCCCCCCAGCCGAACATTCAAATGCCTTTCTAAAATGGAGAACCAATAATGTGGTCAGACTAATGGGCGTATACAAAAATAAGAGGCCTTTAGATAAGCAGGAATTAGAGACAAAGATCGAACGGCACTTGTCCTGGTTTGAATACCTTCAATTGCAGCACTTATTACAACAACAGTATATAGAAAGCTTACAGAGTTTGAGCACTTTCTGAGGAAAACACCATATTTGCACAACCTTCCAGAGAATACTATCACAGCTACCATGGATCTCTGTACACCAACATCCCACACAAAGATGGATTACAAGTCATAAGGAATATGATTTCTGACAACAACACAGCTGACTTTGCCCTCAAACTCTGCCATTTTGTTCTCACCCAGAACCCCTTCAGACCTGGTGACAACCTGTTCCTTCAGATCATGGCCCCACAGTATGCTAACATCTTTATGGTTGACTTGGAGTAACGCTTTCTAAACTCCCACCCACTCATACCTCTCTTATACTTGCATTACACTGATGACATTTTTATTGTCTGCACACATGGTAAAGAAGCCCTGGATGCATTCTGTTATGTCTTAAGTTAATAAAGCAATGTTTAGCTTAAGCATAAATTCCATTAAAAAAGCAGTGTTTGGATTGAAGATCTAACCAATCAGAGAAGCCTATGTTTTCGGCGGGAACCACTCTCATAGGTTCCAAGCCTGGTCATTCTATTGGTTGTTATCTATTGTTGGGTGTGGTTTACTCCTGTTCAAACTGTATATAAGTCAGCATTTTTGTCTTGTGTTGTTATGAGCTGAATAAACATGAATCACTTGTTTAAGAGCTGCCTCAACCTCTGTTCATAATACTGGTGACGAAGGTGGGATGAAGTGGGTAGGAAGCCCCACAGAACCATTCAAGCTGAATCACTAACTGGGCAAGGAATTGTCGCCTTGGCTCTGAGAGCGAGTCACAATGAACGACCAGGGAACAGTTGCCTTGGTCCCAAGTGACAACAGCGAACCAGTGCCACCACCGCAGAGTACCATGGCTACTCTGAACCAGTTCGAGCCGTTCGATGCAAGTACCGAGGACTGGGACACTGTCATCTCCCAGTTTGAGTTCTATGCCACTACATCAAAGATTACGGACCCAGCAGTCAAAAAGGTCACTTTCCTCAGTGTCTGTGGAAAGAACATTTTTGACATAGCCCGGACACTAGTGGCACCTGCAGAACTATCAGCAACCTCAGTAGCTGAAATCACTAAGCAGCTACAAGACCATTTCACACTTCAACTGTCAGAGATCGCTTGCCACCATGCCTTCCACAAGCGTGACCGGGCCAAGGGTGAGTCCATCACAGAATACGTGGCAGTGCTCCGGAAAACGGCGAGGCAATGCAAGTTCACCGACCTGAGTGACCGACTCCGCGACAGGCTAGTTTGCGGCCTACGGGATGAGAAGCTATAATGACGACTGTTTGCCAAGAAAGAGCTCACGTTCCAGGTCGTGTATGAGGAAGCTGTCGCTGCCGAAGCTGCTGAGCAGTCCACCAGAGAGGTATGGCAATCCAAATCACCCGCCGAGTCTCGCCGCACTCTGCCGGTGCACCATGACAGCGTGGATGACACTGACAGTGAAGATGACGGCGTTTATCGAATGGGAGCCGATCGCAGCCTAAAGTACCACCGGCTGGCCACAACAAAATTTAACTGTGCTAGTTGCGGGGGTGAGCACAAGTGTCGAAATTGCAGGTTCCGAGAGGCCCAATGCCATGAATGTGGGAAAACGGGTCACATCGCCAGAGTATGCCGCTCGACAGCCAACAAGAAGTCACCACGCACTTCTCCCAGCAGGGTCCACCCTCAGACCAAGACCACGCCCAGAAGGGCAGAGTGTCACACAACTTACCACAGACTGCATCACTCATCCGTGGAGCGGACTCAAGTGAGAACCAAGGGCAGGATTCGAGTGATGGCCATGCTGAACAACATCTCCGCCCAAACGCTCTGCCGCATGTTCCCCCGCTGGAGCAGAAGCCACCTTGAACCCAGCGATCTTCACCTGGTCGATTTCCAGAGGCAACGGATCCAGGTTGCGGTGATCGGCACCTTCATGGTGAAGTTCAAGAGTTTTTATGGTCCACTCAAAGCCGTAGTTGTTGAGGGACACCGTGGCAGTCTGCTTGGCCTAGACTGGGTTGATGCTTTGGGCATTTGTGTTGTGGGGGTGCAACATGTATCCCAGGACAATTTAGACTCTGTCTGCAAGGACTTCCCAGCCGTGTTTGACAGGTTGCTGGGAAAGTACACGGGGTCCTCCCGTCTCCTTCTAACTCAACCCGAATGTTATGCCGGTGCGGCTGAAGGCCCGAAGGGTGGCGTTCTCCATGAGACCCGAATTGATGAGGAGCTGCACAAGGGGTGTTGGAGCCCGTCTCACACGCCAGGTGGGAGACGCCAATCGTGACCCCTATCAAGCCCAATGGATCGGTGCGCATTTGTGCAGACTATAAATGCACAATCAATCGGGCATTGTTGTTATCTATTGTTGGGTGTGGTTTACTCCTGTTCAAATTGTATATAAGTCAGCCTGGTTCTATGCATTTTTGTCTTGTGTTGTTATGAGCTGAATAAACATGAATAACTTGTTTAAGAGCTGCCTCGACCTCTGTTCATAATACATTCCACCAGGCATTCAATGATTTTCACCCCACCATCAACCTGACAATGAATCAATCCATGCAAGAAATACATTTTCTCGACACTACTGTAAAAGTACACAATGAACACATAGACACCACCTTATACTGGAAACCTACTGACTGGCAAATATACCCACATGCCTCCAGCTACCATCCTAAACATACCAAATGACCCATTGTATACAGCCAGACTCTGCACTACAGCCGCATCTGCTCCAATCCTACAGACAGAGAGTCTTACCTGAGGGATCTACAACAAACCTTTTTGGAACTAAGGTATCCACCTGATGAAGTCAGTAAACAAATTAACAAAGCTAGAATGATATGCAGAGAAAACCTGTTACAAGACAGGCCCAAAAGAGACAATAATAGAACACCACTAGTGGTCACATACAGCTCTCAACTCAAAACAGTTCAACAGTCAATGACTTACAACCTCTACTGGATAATGACAGTTCTCTTTCACAAGTACGGGGGGGGGGCATTTTCTTGCACACAGACAGCCCTCTTGTCTCAAACAACTCCTCACCCACAATAATGCAGCATCTGATTTGAACATGGACACCAGATGCCAACTTTGCTGCCACATACACTCAGACAGTCATTGGACCTAAGAACATCAACTACACCATCAGAAGCTCATTCACTTGCTCATCTTCTAATATTGGTTCTCTACCCAGGACAAACCCTACGCCAGAGGATAAATGGGCACAAATCTGACATCTGGAATCACAAGACTGAGACACCTGTAGGAGAACACTTCAACCTTCCGGGACATTCAATGAATGACCTCAAAGTAGCTGTTTTATTACAAAGGAACTTCAGGAACAGAATGGAAAGGGAGATTGCTGAATGACAAGTTATTACAACACTTGGAACAGAAACCTCCCCAGGACTCAACAGGGATATTATCTCATTACACATGCTTACTCATTCAGTCCTCACATATGTATTCTCAGCAAGAAGAACTATATTTCCTCTGTATTTTAGTGTATTTTCCCCCAAATAGTATATTAGAATACTGAATGTAATGCAAGGAATATTGGAATGCTTTGCTGACAAGCCACTACACCCATTTTTTTTTAAAAAAAATGCTGTTAAGTTACCTCCACTCCTGAGAGGAGATGAATGGTGATTCTCAGTTTACTTCCCACAATTAGAAAAAATGCCTTTACACACTTATTCCTATTTTGGCATATTTATTGCTTTGGTGTCCTCCCCCCCCTTAATTAAATCAAAACAACTGTTGACCGTATAACCTTAGCTTGTTATTTAGTTTTGTTTTTGCATCACTTAAAACATCTTCATCATGTTACATGTTAATTTGCTGTTCAGCCTCTGTCTATAAGTTTGAGCCGTACCTCCCCCATCCCAGTGCATTTGAGAAAGTGTGCCTTGCACACGGAAGCTCATACCTTGAATAAACCTTTGTTGGTCTTCAAGGTGCCTGACTGGACTCTCAATTTGTTCTTTTGATCTTCCTAAGGGCATTCTATCAAAAATTCATAACATTCTAACATCCACATTGTCAACTTCCTAAGGGCATTCTATCAAAAATTCATAACATTCTAACATCCACATTGTCAACTTTGCCACCCAAATATGTTGACCAATGGAAAAAAGAAAACATCATACCTCCGTCTGAGGATAGCTGTCAGGATCGGATCTCTGATAGCCATGCTCCTTGGTTGATCAGGGGGTCAGACTACATGCACACTGGTGTTCTGATGTACATAGCTTGTTTGCTTGTTAACTGTCTCTGCATTCTTATCTCTGTGTTCTCATCCCTGCTTATAGTTCCCATACTCCATGTAACACCTGCTAGCAATGTATTAACTGGTTCACACAGATCCTCCTCTGACATTCTCAGGATGTGGGGGACGGTTGAGACATGCCTGATTGTGTATTGTAGATAGAGTGCTTTGAAACTCTGTATAAGGGTCTTCCTACACGGAGGCCAGGAGATTGTTCGCGTTTCTAATTTCTCATGGCCTTGTAGGAAGTATTTCAGATAAACATTCACACCATTATAATTCGTACTTTGTTAACCTGTCTCTATCACATGTAACCATGACGTATGAATGTGGGCTGAACCAAAGTTTTCGTAGTTCATGCTTTTGGATTATGCTTTTGCAGTTCTGTCAAAGAGTTTGATTCACCTGCAGCTCTTCTGATTTCTACAATAAAATCCATAAACGGATTTATTGCGTCTGAGAGTTACTGTAGAGTCTCACAATAGCTGTGAATCCATTTGTTACTCTCCCAGCATCTGCTCCACCAACTTGTCCATTAAAGCTATGTCATTTAAGATAATTGCAAGATAGCACTATTCTCCCGTAAAACATAATAAGATAACTCCTGACAACTGGAAATGCTGTGGGGGTGTCAGTAATTATAGCCATTGTTGGTGTGACTGTCCCCTCTTATAGGGGTTCTAGTGGCAAGTCCGCAACAATATTTAACAAGATAACTAAGGAAACCATCCCTTTCACAGCTGATAGATTGGTTGTAAAATCTCAGGTCATCACAAACCATCACAAACCATTAATAACTAAGCTTTGTGCAGCGGTGAAATATTCACAGGTGAAATATTCAAAGCCAGATCACCACTTTTGTCTCAACCTGGTTTCCGATAATTATGCATTTTTCACATACTGTCCTTTTCTCATATCTTCCTTCTCTAGTAGATCCTGTACTACAGATAGACCCAATTCATGCGGCTTGTTCTTCTCTGTGGTTTCTTACTGTTAAATTATACCCACTATCATAAATACTTTTTTTATCCTTAGTTTTGGACGTAGCTCTGTTGCAATCATTTTAAAGTATTAACTAAGGCCTGGCGTGATCTGGTCCATGGGGTCGTGAAGAGTCGGAGTCAACTGTGTGACTGAACAACAACAACTGTTGCAATCATTTTAAAGTATTAACTACATATAGGTTTGTTGACTCCAACGTTAGTTTAGCACTATTTTCAATGCTATGTTCTTTATACAATCTATCTTATGTTGTAGTAGTATTTTTAACTGTTTAATAAAAAAACTTAAAAAAGAGAAAGAGCTTCATGACTATAAATGAAAATAAAAAAAATGTTGTTCTTGATTGGAGAGACTATTGGCAAAGAACTGGACAAACAGTCATGATTAATACCCAAAGTGCATGTGCATTTCCAAGCATTTGTAAAAGATCTGAATTGCAGGGAGGGCATTTTCTTAAATTTTGGGAAGAGCCACAGCCAGTTCAGGATTCTATTTAGTCTTAATTTTAGTTTTAGTCTTAATTTTATAGCTATTTTATCTATTTTATCAGTATTTTATCATTATTTTAACAGCATATAATTTACATTCT